ATTAATAAACAACAACAGTGCACAAAGGGCAGCTCATTTTCTGTTAGTGTTTGATGAACTTCTCCGCCTTATGTAATAATAATAATAATAGATAGCATTTGTATAGCGCAAATCCCCGCTCAACAGCAAGCTCTATGCGCTTCACAATCTACACTATTACCTGACGGTATAAGGAGAGAGTAAGTCAGTACAGTGCAGCCTCTCTATAACGACCTTCGATATAACGACACCCTTTGTTGAGAGACATGGTGCCCAGGTCCTGACTTTTTTCTTTTATATATATAATTAGTAATATTTTAGTTGCCCCCCCCCCCCCCCCCCCATACCAACAATTCTCTATAACGACATTTTTTTCTGGTCCCGACGATGTCGTTATAGAGAGGCTGCAGTGTAGGCTAAGTATGTTCGACGCACTTCGAACTAATCCAACCTTCTCCACAACTTCTGGCTGTCAATAGTAACTGATTGTATCTCTCAGTTAGTATATTATCACTGGCAAGATCTTATAATGCACTAAGCTCAGAAAGCAAAATTTTACAGGAGAGAGAAAAAAAACAAATTATGTTTCTTTCTTTTAACAAATTATGGTTAGGACATCTAGCCAGAATGCCCCAGAAACAATTAGCAGCTAGAGCTTACAACACCTCAAAATCCGGCTTCAAATTAAGATGAAGACCAAGAAAGACCTGGTAGGATGGGGTTAAAAAGGTCCTGGAACAACATAACATATCCATCACAGACGCTACACACCGAGCACAGGACCGAAACCTGCACTTCCCCTCAACATCCTAAGGATACCAGAGGAAGGAAAAAGTAACAGTAAAAAGTAAAAGTATCGACTTATGTATTTCATCATGCTTTTCACAACAATTAAAAGTTGAATTTTGACAGGATCTACCCCGGCTGAAAGCGATACAATGCTTCAGCAGATTGTCTGAAATACTCCATTAAAAAAACCTCCCCATAGTATGGGAAATCAAACTCTGGTCAACAGTAAAGCACCCTATCACTACACCACAAACACCAGTGCCAAATTATGCACACGAGAAAGCAGTAATTTTAAACTTGCACATAAAGGAAATATAGCTCTTTTTCCATCTCTCATAAAGTAATAATGGAATACAGAGTAAATGGAAATAAGCGGAAACCTCATAAATGTTGTACATGTATTTCAAATCACCAGAAAAACAAATCCTCAAAACAGCAATCAGAAATATTGTACAACAAACCAGAACTCGTGCGCTCTTTCTTTTTGTAATCTCATGTAAGCAAAGGTGAAAAGTTCAAACAAGATCAACACGTTAAATATCTGTGATGTATCCATGGTATACAGAGTAAATAGAAATAAGCGGTAACCTCATAAAAATTTCGTATTTCAAATCACCAGAAAAAAAAAATCCTCAAAACAGCAATTTGAAACACAGTACCACAAACCAGAATAAGGGTGCTCTTTCAGCACTAAAAGCTCGACTGAGTTCGGCCTTTAACTCTCTGAGCCATGCAAATGGATAAAAACGTCTTTCGTCACTTCTTAAGAATGGCGTAACTCAATAAATGTGTAAAGAAAACAATACATGGTGATATCTAAACAAGCAGCAAAATCCTTTTTTGCAATCTCATTTAAGCAGAGGTGAAAAGTTCAAACAAGTTCAACATATTAAATATTCGTGATGTACACATCTGGTGCAATATATACCACAGATCATGAATTGAAGAATTACAATAAAAGTTAAAGACAGTTTCAATAAAACGAGTCCAAACCTGAAAAATAGAAACATCTCAATGACAACCAAAATGAGATTATAAAAGGCTTTGCGTGGTCCTACATTCTCTACCACTGTAAATGCTGGATAAATGCTGGATAATTATGAAAAGAGATTGAAGACATACTCGAGCCACAAACGAAATGTGGTTCCTTAGGTGACTGTTGAAAACTTCACGACTCACGGTAGGAAAAGAAATCAAATGAGGTTATGCTTAAAGACAAACGAAATGTGGTTTCATAGGTGACTGTTAAAAACTTTACAACTCACGGCAGGAAAAGAAATCAAATGAGGTTATGCTGAAAGAAGCCAGTACGGGTCGCTCAATAAAACAAAAATAGTCACAAAGAGATAAGTAGTGTTTCTGGGATACTTAAATTGACACCAGAACCTTGAACATCTTGATCTTGCTCGAAAAAAGACGGCAAAAAAAGACAGGGACAGACCAAGGGCAATTTGATTAAATGAACTTGAACAGACAGGTGACTGGGAAACAACGAGATACTATTGGTTGTTTTGTTTTTTTAGAGCATCCAAGCAGAGAAAGGAATGAAGTAGCATGATTCACAACGTCTGCTTCTGATTTGGCATTTCATGACAATGATCATTATCATTACCACATAATACATGAAAGAAGTCAATGGCACAATATATATGCACACACGAATTTACAGTTTTGATATTTGATCATAAAAGTCTTCTGAGTTCTCTCAAATGCAGTTTAGTATTCTTCTTCTTATTCGTGAAAATGTAATTAAACCCCTTTAGAAACAGCTGATCCTTTAAGGGGTGGGCTACTTTTTGTGATTATCAAAACTGCAACAACTACCTGACAGTACCTGACCTGATCTGTTCTCAAATGTGGAAGTTACGAGCTTCCTCTTCGCTTCGGTGTCTCATACAGCATGGGAACGACCAGAACATTAGAAAGTAAAAACAGCTCTGCTCTGACACACACTTTATATACCTAGAATATTGAAGCATTACACAACACACTTTATCTAACCATGACAAAAAGAACAAATATAGAAAGGATACAAAAAGCAAAAGAACGCAGGCTTTTAACACTTTGTCATAACAAGGCTCAAAAAGTAAAAACCCTTGCCATCGAAGGCAAAGGCATTTTGGGGAAAATCCAAAGAAACTGGGTGGTAAACATCACCGATCGGCGAGATGTGGCGGCAAGGTGTTAAGAACATGCGGGCTAATCCAAATTTCGGGGATTTCCAGAAATCTTGACCTACAAAAAAAGTGGGCTTTGCCCAAGGAGGTTATTTGTTGCTAGGTCCTAGGCATTGCCCTCCCTATAGAAGAAATTTGGTTTCATTCGTGTGTATATTTGTTTGGTTATAGAGAAAACTCTCCTTGTCTTTTAAAGAAACTGAACAAGGGTCCTAAAACTTTACCTTTGATTTTCTCAAAACAGCATTTTTCGGGATAGCCCCCTTGTGCTTAAAAGCGATTATATATTCTAAACCAACTGTACCACAGCTAGCATACAATTGTCTAGATTTTCTGTACAGCAGTGTCCATACATAAATACATACTAATAAAATTGTCACCAGCATTTCACAATAGAAACGTAACACTTAAGTGTGTTCACAACATACAAATGTAAACTTTTATAAAATGTCAGACAAAATTTCTGAAGTTATAAAAATGATAACAGCATAGAAAAGCATGTGGCAAACACAACAACAAAAAATCCACTAAAATGATATCACATTTGAAATAAAATGATATGGTTGTATTTCTGTTCACATCAGAGGGAAGAACATTCTTTGTTTCCTTGTCTTGCAATAAAAGTAGATTAAAAAAAACAAATTCAATAAATAGATAGGCCTAGTCCACAACTAATCTGATAAAGCAAAATGCATTTAAATACTTCAATGAAATTTGATCACAACATAAAAATATCTCACGTGATGTAAAAGTTAACACTAAACCCAAGAGGGAGGCTGACAGGTTTCACTAACAAGTCCTCTTTACTTCCTTAATTTCCCTAAATTCACAATCATCGGGTTAAACAATAGAGCTCTAATGCTATGTCCTGAAATGAAAGAACTGGAAGGTTTAAGGAATGTTATAATGTCAAACACAACATAATGAAAGAACATGACTTGATATTAAGATTTATGCATATATATGAATCTGAAAGCATATTCACATGAAAACGAACATGCGTACATGAATGACTTTTGCTAACACATACACGTCCGAGTGTTAAAATAAACTTACACACAGATGGCTGTATTATTGTAGCCATATCTCAATGTTCACTTCGTACAACCATGAAAAGGTTCAATAAAATATACACCTTCTGTCTGGAACGTTTTTTTATTATTAAGTGTTTTACGGCGCTTGCAACACAATAAGATTATTCATAAATGCTGAGTTAGAGGTGTTACAAGAGAATAAGAAACATTAATAAGAAAGAAGGAGAAGAGATAAGGACAATAGTTATTTTGCTTTAGTACAGTTTTACGGTGCTCGCAACTGCATAGAGTCATATGAGCGCCAAGGGGTGGATGTCAACAGAGAAGTGTAAACAGGGAATCAGACTTACTCTGCTCACCTCTCTAGCCTCAACAGCACAAAGTCTGCTGCGGCAATCAAGGCATCCCGGAAATAGTGGGTCACAAGAGTGTGACAAAAATACAAAATAAGTAGAGGAAAAAAAACGATAGTAAGGATGAGGTAAGAAAAAGCAGCAGTTCGCCCTATGTTGTTCCAGCACAGTATGAGCATGACATTGATGAATCAGCTGATTTACACTTCGGGATAACTGGTTTTGGCCCCAACGATTACTATAGAGCATGGGTTTTGGTTATACCGACGATTACTTCTGTTCTAAACAATTACTTTTCAACTCACATGCCGATTCTGTGATGTTTGACGCTCAATGAGCGAGAGATATCAAATTTGATAAAATAGCAGCTCATCTCTCGCTCTTTTGGATAAAACATCGATACCCAGTATTTAAGTCAGTATTGATATCCAGTAATCTTTGGGCCAATACCAGAGAATGCCATGTACACACTACCAAAGAGTCTACATAACAAGAGGGTCCACTCCTCTCTTTGAGCCAATTAAAAAACTCTCCTCAAAATTCGGTGGCGCCCTCTTCGCAAATACGCACCCTTTGCGAACAGAGTTAACCTACTTGTGTTAAAAAAATCAAAGTGAAACTTACAAGTTTTTGAATAAATAAAAATTCAAATTCGGAAGAACGCTTATTTAAAATGGTTACGCAGACAAAAAACCTCTTCCGGAAAAAAGGGTGACTGTTTTCTTCTTTTAATTTGACTTTGGAATGAAAGACGAGAGGTCATTGAAATAAAAAAAACCTAAAACTCTGCACTGAACGAACCCGAACAGCTAATGAACAGCAGTCGATCTGCGCACCCAAGGAGGTGCTATTCCTATTCTTCTTCTGGAGAAACGAAAAAGAGCTTGAAAACAGACTTCAGCGCTATCTGAAGCAAAGAGCGGACTTCCGGCGGACACTTTTTGTGCTGAGTGGACCATCTTGTTATGTACTATCTTTGACACTACACAGCGTACACGCCGAGGAAATGAGCGCACACAGTGACCCAGTCATGACCCAGTTCCAGGGTGGAATACACCAGGGGATGACCACGGTCCGTCACCTCACAGAAGAACAGCGCAGAGGACAGACGTCGCAGCGAGTCTGCGTCAATTCCTTTTTCCTCCACTTGCTGATCCACCGAGGCCCGAAGCTCGGCTATTTTCCTAACATTTCTGGAGAGCTCTCCCATCCGCTGGACATCTAGGGGGAATAACTCTGGCAGCAAAAGTTCAACGATGGAAAGAAGCGTGAGGATAGTGGACACTAGCAGCAGAATGTTCTCCGATGCTTGAGAACCTGAAAGGAATATGGAAAGGGGCAACCTTAGTGTACAGCGGAAAAGGAAATTCGCAATACAAATCACATTTCCACACCATAATCTCCACTCCCTTTTTTCCCCGCTCTCTCTCTCTCTCTCTCTCTCTCTCTGTCTGTCTCTCCCTCCCCCCTCTTTCTCTCTCTCCCACCCACCCCCTCCTCCTCTTTCTCATTGTCCCTCTCTCTCTCTCTCTCTCTCTCTCTCTCTCTCTCTCTCTCTCTCTCTCTCTCTCTCTCTCTCTCTCTCTCTCTCTCTTTCTCTCTCTCTTTCTCTCTCTCTCTTTTTTTCTCTCTCTCCCTCCCCCCTCTCTTTTTCTCTCTCTCTCTCCCTCCCCCTTTTTCTCTTTGTCCAAGACAACCACCTGTACTAGTGACCACTTCTCTTCTCCCTCTTTCATCTCTTTATATTAAAATGAAACTGCTCAAGACAATCACCTGTCTAAAACAACCCAGTTTTCTCCTTGACAATGCAGGACAGTCTTGAACAATTTCAACTAGATTAAGTTTCAGAATAAATTATGATATCAGCATAAAATTTACTATTTCTTCTCAGTATCTTTAACGCCTATTTAAACTCATACTCATGGATGTCAACTCAGAATTTCAACAAAGGGGAAACTTTCCGCGAGACTGCGACAGAAGACCATTTTCGCGAGGCACCTATTATTATTATACTGTTCAACCTTGAGTAGTGAAATAAAAACCATCAATTTATCAAAGCAAGGTTATTTCATACCAATTTGAGGGTTCGGGAGATAATTTCAAGTAAAAGAGTCACTTACCAAATATTTATAATCTTGAATATGTACAGAAAGTAGTGGCGCATTATTGGAAGGTGCCCCTCCCAGCAGTAGAGTTTAGCGGAGGAAATAGCAGTAGCGGAAATCCACTAAAGAGAGGATTATTGAGACCCATGATATTAGTCACTAAAAGTTAATGCTCTTCTGCAAAGGAGAACCAAGTTCAGAAAGCTAGAAAAAATCTCCAAAAAAAACAGAAACCTGTTGGATATTTTCTATGATTGTACCCAAGACCTCTGGATTACGAGTGAAGAGTTCTAATCTCTACATCAGGAAGATAACCAATACTTTTGTTGGATGGGACAAAAAACAAAATTAAAGTAGCTTAGGAAAGTTTATCGCTAGCAGGATATCAAACCAGCTGACGACTGGCACGAACAGCCAGCCAACCCTTTCATGGATGGATCCTGGAGAGGAGGGAGGGGCAGCTATATCATGTTGTAACACAGTACCTCCTGTTTTGATACCTATTCTCCAACCAAGTAACCAAGTAAGTAACGAAATCTAAAACTATGACAGCCACTCACCCCCTTTTAATTTTAGTAAGGTTTTACGGCGCTCGCAACTGTATAAGGTCATATGAGTGCCAAGAGGCGGATGTCAACAGACCACTATCAAGGCATCCCAAAAATAGCAGTTCACAAGAGAGAGACAAAAATACAAAAGCAGAAGAGGAAGAATTACGATAGTTAGGGTGAGGAAAGAAAAAGCAGCAGTTCTCCCTATGTTGTTCAAGCACAGTATGAGCACGACACTGATAAATCAGCCCATTTACAAGTCTACTGTGCATAAGAACACGTTAATATCCCCCCCCCCCCCCTTTTGGTAACGGCTTAAAGACAACGTCTGTCAGGCATCCCCAAGGAAAGCACTTCACAGCCCAAGGAAAGCACACTGCCCCCCCCCAAAGAAAGCACACTGCCCCCCCCCCCGAAAAAAAGCACACTGCTCCCCCCCCTAAAGAAAGCAGTCCCCAGCAGCACTGACCTAGTGAGGAGAGTCCACTGGCACGGAGAATGTCCACACATTTCTTGCTGTCCACTCCAAGAAGCTTGTCCAGCTGAGAGGAAAACTCCCAGTAGCCGGCCTGGGAGAAGGAAGGGTTGGGGAATGAGGAGGATGAGGAGAAAAGAAAGAAAGAAAGATAAAGACATTTTATTCATCCTCTAAACCCCCCCCCCCCCAAAAAAAAACCCCACAGAGATCAATATTTTGTCAAAATGCAACAATTCATAAATAAAAATCAGAAGCAAATAATAATTTTATCAAAATGCCACAATTCATAAATTATAACAATCAGAGATAAATATTTTGTCAAAATGCAACAGTTCATCTCAGCACTACTGGAAGATCTACTCTCCAAGTATAAGGAATCTTAAATAGTGAGAGACTTTAAGCTTTACACTCTAGCCCCAAAGCAGACGAGGAAACGCTCATTTTATCATACTGATGGCCATTATATCATACTGATGGCAATTTTATCATACGGATGTCCATTTTATCATAATTATGGCCATTTTATTATACGGGTGGCCATTATATCATACTGATGGCAATTTTACCATACGGATGTCCATTTTATCATAATTATGGCCATTTTATTATACGGGTGGCCATTTTATCATACTGATGGCCATTTTACATGAGACATCTAGTGCCGATGAATCTCTTTGGATAACTCGTCGTCATCAGGGATTTACAAGACAGGGGGGGTCATGGTTCATGTGTTCTTCAACCTATTGAGAAATGAGAAGTTGCAAACTGCATTTTGTGCGGTGTGCTGATAGAATGAGTAACTTCTTGCCATCCAATATGGTCAAAATTGTAGGTTTTCTATTGAAGCCATATTCTGTAACTAAATCCTGTCTTTTATTATGTCATACTTATAAACCGTAAAAATTTCACCAAAAACATGATGTATCTGTTTCATTCAGGTTTTAATTCGAGAAGTAACCCATTTTGTCAGCGTACTCTTCACATTTGGCGACTGGGGCCGTGGCTAGAGGAGGAGGGAGTTATTTATGGGGGGTTCACACAACGTGCTTCTGTACTGTCGAAATCGAATGTAAGCTGTTGGGAACCTGTCCCCGGGGTTTTATGCACCCCGCATAATTTATTTAGCAAAATTTGATAATTTTTTTCATAATTTCTGATATTTTCCTTTATCATTTTTAAATATTTTTTTAAAAAACCAAAATCGCACAATTTCCCACTTTTGAGCTGTTGGGGACGACCCCATCTCTGGACCTTTGCAGAAACCGACGTTTTCTTTATTTTCTTCTTCTTAGTTTGGTTTTAGTAGAGGTTTTACGGCGCTCGCAACTGCATACGGTCATATGAGCGCCAGAAGGGGTATTACAAGAGAGTAACAAACATAAAAAAGAAGAAGAGGAGATAAGGACGATAGATGTTCGATAGGAAAAAAGGAGCAAACCACACCAGGGCACCCGCCAATCGCCCACATTTTCTTTAGTGCCAATGCCAGCTCATGACAAACACACCGAACCCAAAAACTGATGAAGATGGACAGAGGTATAACAACTGTGCTGGCAGCCTGTTGCACAATTTGACAATACAAATGCAAACACACACAGACACGCACAAACACACACACCTACACCC